CCCCAGCAGCGAACAGGACCACCCTCCCCACCCTGCAGGGAGGGGGGAGGAGTAGGGGAAGGGTCTTCCTCTGGTGCCGGACAGCCCCCCACACAGCCAGCCCCACACAGAGCCCCCCCAACACCCTGCAGCGGGGGGGGTGGAGAGGAGTGGGGCTGCTCTGCCCCAGCTGCAGTCCCCTGGTGGGGGGTGGGAATTAACCCCCTTCCTGCCTTTCTTCCCATACCACAGCTGGAGTCTGCCAGCCCCAGCCGCCCCCTCCGGGAAGGAGGGAGGAATTAACTCCTACCCCCACTTTGCTTTAACAGGGCTATGCCAGCCGATGTCTCGCTATGTCCCTGCTTGGGCTATAGAGCAGACGGGCAGGGCCAGCCCTATTCTCTGGAGCAGAGAACACAGCCCAGGCCAGACAGCATGCTGGGATGCTGAAGGACTCTGGTTTAACTTGAATCAGGAAGAAGTCTGGGACAGAAGTTGCATAAACCGGTTTGACTGAATTCAGTTAAGTCTGATAGCTACATTCAGCCAGGTTAATTTTAAACCCGTTTCAGCTATTTTGAAACTGGTTTATGTGCACTGAACTTCTGTTCTGTTACAGGTTTAAACCAGTTTCTGATCACTTAAACCAGTTTATGTGTAACTTCTTTCCCTAGCCCGTGGGATAATGTACATGATCTTATATACACTATTTATAAAGGTACACTTTTGAAACACTGAACTGAGATTTAGCCACCAGCTTCCTATACTTCTCATATAATTTTCACGCTGAAGTTTTGAGTCTTAACTCCATTATCCAGATTTAAGTAAATGGGCGAGAGTGTCAAAACTGAGATTCAAGCATGGTGACAAACTTCTTGATCCGTATCCTTATGTTTGTATTATGTATGTGGAATGCAGTTCATTTCAGCAAAGTGTTTTCATCCGTGAGTTTATAAATTTATGTTTGAACAAAGTTTTAAACAAATGTATGTTGATACAGCATGGTCTAAATGTCACAAGTAAATAAAATAGTGTTGTTCTTTTTCAAGGTTGGGAAGAGAAGCCATTGACAAATTCTGGTTCTCTGGAACAATTGAATTTGGATTGTTCTTTTAAGAAAATGACTGGCAAGGAATCTTCCTTCTCCTTTGATCTGTCTGCCCTTCTCTCGCCCTTCTCGTTTCCTTTTATAGTCATCTGTGTTGATCTTGAAGCAGTACTCTGCAGTGCAGCAACTTGGGCACTGATGGTGCCTCACTTTTCTCCATTTCTCTTCTATTAGTTTACACTTTCATTTTTGAACACTGTAATATTTGGGATGACTAAATTCTTTGGATCTAGTATTGGGTTTTGGGGGTATGTCTACACATGCAATTAATGCACAGAAAGCTTACTGCACAGTAAAATACTGCACAGTAACTTTTCTGTGAGAGCCCATCTACATGTGTACCAGTTGGGAGCAAATTTGCTTCCAATAGGGGCAGTTTAGGGCAGGGATACTCCTACCATATAGCAGCCAGGGAGATCTCTAGGCTCCCCTGGGTCCCAGCTCCAGGCTGGCAGGGTGCACCAGTGTCAGGTCTGGGCTCTGCATGGTGGGGGACAGCTGTTTCCCAGCCCCAGGGATGGGAAAATGTCCCCTCCCTTGCAGCTGTTTCCCAGCCTCCTGCCCCAGTTGGCCAGTGGGGCACCTGGCAGTGAGCCCCTGGCTGGGCGAGAAATTCCTGCCCAGCCAGGGGCTGGCAGGAGCTGTCCTGCTGGTGGGGCAGCTGGCAGTGAGCCCCCAGCTGGGCGGGGAATCTCAACCCAGCCAGGGGCTAACCCAGGGGTGGGTAATTATTTTGGGCAGAGGTCCACTTACTGAGTTTTGGCAAGCCATTGAGGGCCGCATGATAGGCAGCCAGGGGAATATAAATATTAATTTTCTAGATTTTTTTTTTTTTTTTTT